TAGTTGTAGTTGGACACAATATCTTTTATTTATTTATTTATTTGTTTGTTTGTTTTTATGTGGTGTTGAGGATAGAACCCAGGGCCTCCCCTGTGCTAGGGGAGCACTCTACCACTGAGTCAAAACCCCAGCCCTCAAAGTTATCTTCATCTTCCCACTAAATACATGATAAAAATTTCTCCTCCCCATTCACAGAATAGCAAATTACTGTTCAGTTTCTAGTGTTTTCCTTTTCTGAAAGTACATGCTGATTTTTCAAATACATTGTATAAGAATGTATCAAATTGTTAATACTTTGAAGATGTGAAAAGATATAGAGACTAATACCCCATGATCACTTGGACAAATTTGATAGCCCTAGGTAATAAGAAGATAGGAATATACACCAATTTGTAAGAAAGGTTTGGGAAATATTTTTAAAAGACAAATAGGCATAACTTTCCAGGTTATAATCTTTTTTTTTTTTTTTGGTGCTAGGGATTGAACCCAGGACCTTTTGTATGTATGCCAAGCATTCTATCAACTGAGCTATATCCCCAGCCCCCAGGTTATAATCTTTATAATTTTTAATATATATTTATTAGTTGTAGGTGGACATAACACCTTTATTTTTCTAAATTTTTATGTGGTGCTGAGGATAGAACCCAGTGCCTCATGCATGCTAGGCAACCACTCTACCACTGAGCCCCAAACCTAGCTCAATCTTTAACTTTTTAAATTAACAAGCTAAAACAGGATTGTAACTTATTTGCACATTAGGTATGCATGTGCTCAATGTAAAAGTAATGACTGTTTGTATACAGGCCCACTTTTCAGAGACATTCTATAGATGTCCACCCAAACTTTAACCTGCCTCATTATTTTCAAATAAATAATAGTATTATTATTTAAGAAGTGGTTTTCTTTTTTCGTTTTTTGTAAGGTAAATCAATATAAAGCACATGATCACAAATAGGAATATCTTCTATCTTCACTTTGTAAACTCCCTCTTAAGAGTACATGGAGCCCAGCATGGTGGTGCACACCTATAATCCCAGTGGCTCTGGAGTCTGAGGCAGGAGGATTACGAGTTCAAAGCCAGCCTCAGCAAAAGTGAGGCACTAAGTAACTCAGTGAGACCTTGTCTCTGAATGAAATACAAAATAGGGCTCGGGCTGTGGCTCAATGGTTGAGTGCCCCTTAGTTCAATCCCTGGTTCCCACCCTCTCAGAAGAAAAAAAAAAAAAGAGTCAATGGAATGGAGAGCTCAAAGCACAACTAAAACTCTTAGCCAAGTGTGTTTTCCCTTCGCTAAGTGAAAACCTCCAGGTTTTAGTATTTATATCAGAAGTGAATGTTACAAATGAATAAGTAGATAAAGTAGTTATATAAATTATGTACAATAACATCTTGAACATAATGGAAAAGTGATGTTTAATAACAAGGCTATAAAAATGATTATCACCCTATAAACTACTACCACTGAGATTATATATTGAATACCAGTGTCTGAAATTTTGACATGTGAACACTCTATAACTCTCAAATTTCTCTTTCTTATCAGACATAAGAAATGATCCCAGAGAGGACTGGGAATATAGTTCAGGGGAAAAGTGTGTGCTTAGCTGTATAAGGCTCTGCATCCAATCTTCAACATCCCTTAAAAATCAGACAGGGCAGATCTCATAATAAATCATAGGGAGAACAGTAGAGGAAAGGGTTCAAGGGGTATGAGGTGAGGAAGGAAGGGCACAGCACTGGGGAGTGATATTGGCCAAGTTACATTGTTATATTGTGTGCATGTACAAAAATGTAACAACAAATCCCATCATTATGACCAGCTGTAATGCACCAATAAAAAATATGAGAAAAAAGGATAGAAAAATTAAAGCAAAAAGAATCCTATAGTTGTACAAAAAGAAATGTTAGTTTGTGTGAATGGCTTATGATTATATAAATCTGCTCAGGTGTATATACATCATGCAATAGTTTAAAAGTATGCAGGAAATCATCGATACTGTTAACATCAATCTTCATTATTTAAGAAGTTATATTAAAACATGCTACTTATGCCCAATAAGTAATATATAAAATAATTTAATATGTATAGAATGGTACCTAAAAAGTGGGAAACAAAAGAAATTCTATATGACTATTTAAACGTCATCAAAATATATGATGTAAGAAGAATATATTAAAGTGTTTTACTTAATCAGTATGTTGTAGAAATCTTTTAAAAATAACTTCACTGAGTTAAAGAAATTTGTAAGATTCTTTAGAATCTTCTTAGCTAAAGTACCTGCTAAGACCAGATAGACAACATTATAGGGTTCAAGGATAAGTATGACACAAATTTAGTGTAGATCAAAGTAGCACTTCATGTTACCCTCATGAAAGTACTTTAGGGGATCATGAAAGGACATAAATGTGATTATTATACATATATTTAAATTTTTACATAAAATTTAGGCTTACTGGTAATCTAGAGAGTCCATAAACAAATTCTAAAGTTCAATGTGTTAGGGATGCAGCTCAGTGGTAGAGCTCATGCTTGATAAACTGGTACATTCTAAATATTTAAATTCAGTATTCTGTCAATAGTGTGAGTACTTGATTCAACCAGTGAGTAACTTTGCAAAACTACTATTGTGTTTTTTTTTTATCAAGATAGTTGAAATTATTATAATTTTCCAAAGAGACATTCTTGTAATTAATGCACCATTCACAGTCTTACATTTGTTGTAGTTTACTACAGATTCTACTCTTATAATAAGGAATATATTTGCAGAATTACTACTCTTTTATTTTGTCATTGTATACTTATGTTGTTGTTATTTTACATTTCCCCTCTATTTCTTTGTTATCAATGAAATCTTTTGTATCAGGGAAACGTCAGGAGAGATGAACTATGGGATCTTTTGATTCAAATAATTGTACAATAATGAAAAAAGTCTGAAATCTAGTAAACTAGACAAGGTATTTTATTTATTAACATAATATCTTCAGATCTAAGGATGCTTGTATTGACTTTCATTACATCTATCAGTGATCATTATGAAAAGCACGATGATTTATCAAAGGATAAATAAGAGATAAAGAGCATTGATATTTTCATAATTCCATTGCTTTTTTTCCTAATAGTTTTACAAGCATACTCTTCAACATTATTATAATAAAGGTGTGGGAAATAATAAGTTGCAAAGAAGGCCTATGGTATTCTCTTACATAAAACTTAAACTTTTTCTATGTACAATATTGAAAAATTGAAAATGTAGATGACTAAGTCAAAATATAATTGCTCCCAACAAAACAATTTTATTTGTTTTTCTCCTTGTGTATGTGTCAATAACAATTTAGCTTTTTAAACAGTCTGAAACTCAATGTTCAACACCGAGAAGAAAACTGAAGTATAAATACATTACAAAAATATGTATAAAAAACATGAAAAGTAAAATTTTAAAGTAAAATAGAAATTCTTTTTTACTTTTTCTTCACTTTAAAATTAGAGAAATGATAATAAAATGTTTTCATTCTTTTAATAATTACTTGAACACTTATTATTTCCTAAGGAAGTGAAGATGAATATACTGCCCTGGCCCTCAGGAAGCTTACATTCCACCAACTGGGATAGGAAGGGTGGTTACATAGAAGAAAATAATATTAATTCAACAGTACAGCAGCAATGACATAAACATTATGAGGTATTATAAGAATACAGTATAGGGGAAAGAAACCCTTGGAAAGCAGAAGGAGGACCACAGGAGACAATTAAGTGAAGCTTTAAATGATAATTGAGGGTCACTAAGTGAGATGGGGCACTGGTGTGGCTCTTGGGGAGAGGAGACATTCTAAGCCAAGAAGATGGTGAGCAAAGTCAAGCCTAGAAATAGCCATGGACTGGGAAATCAAAGCAAATACACAAAGAAAAAAAAACATTTTTTCTATCATCAGACTCCAACATTGATAGTGGCATAGCATAAACTTGTGTGTTATGTACTAAATACTTGTTACAACGAGTTTTCTAAAAAAATAGCATATATATATATATATCTGTGTTTATGTCTTTCTATAATTTCAACAACTGCTCATTTAGTCTATACATTTTGCTTGTAATATAACCAACATTCTAATTTCTATAGCTCTGTGCTAAGGTCTGAGGGTACCCTTGGTGAGGTGACTATAACAGTTTTAATAAAAGGACCTTCCAGGAGCAATGGTGCATGCAGACAATCCTAGATATTCTGGAGGCTGAGGTAGGAGAATTGCAAGTTCAAGGCCAGCATCACAACTTAGTGAGACCCTGTCTTAAAACAATAAGAGAAGGGCTGGAAATGTACCTCAATGGTAGAGTTCTCCTAGATTCAATCCCAGTACCCCCCAACAAACACACACAAAAGAAAAGAGAAAGAAAACAG